TATATATATATATATATATATATATATATATATATATATATATATATATACACACACGTATATCAGTTAAAAAAATGAAAAGAAAATATGATTAGAACCAAATGATTGAATTGTTTGGGGTGAAAATGCACCGCATGTGAATTAGTACCAAGTGGTTGAATAATGCTTATAAATGTCTACATCTTACTTTTTATCTTTTTCTCTTTGTTACCAGCATATTATATATGGCTTTTCACAAAATAGTTACCACCAAAATGAAATGATTTACAAATACAAATAATTATATATATATATATATGATGAATATCAACTTCGATTCAAAAATCTTTCGTTCTTACAAAATCAAGACTCAACTGATATCAACAAAAATGTGTTAGTTGTAATAAAAAGAATACAAAATTCAAGTTATATGTTCTAACTTAGCATCCCATGCACATTGAAGTTATTGTCCACATGAATCCTTTTATTTGTAGCACAATGAAATTTTACACAACGGTGATTTGGTTGTACAATCTCGACTTCAAAACTCACCTTAATTGATTTAAATTCAAGTAATTATGGCTCCTTACTTTTGAACTTGTCAAGGGTCAACTCACAAACGAGTCTTAAGTTCCTACCATCGCCCTCCCTACCTCATCCATCCCCATAATAATTAGTATATAAATACCCCATCTTGGTGTTTGTAGTTAAACCTCATCAATACCAAAACCAACCAACATGATTTCTTCATTCATTTCTTCTGCAATATCTCTTATTCTTTCACCCATCAAACACTTTGTCCATGCCGACTTTCATGATATCTTTCAAAGGATGACACTGATCGACAGGATTCTCTTCTTGGTACGCATCTACCCTGCTAAATATACTCATTTGAACCATAATATATATATATACACACACACACACCCCATTATTCAAATGAGTATATGTGTGTGTGTGTGTATATATATATATAGAGAGAGAGAGAGATGCCTGCATGTTGCTTTTTTGAATTAGTTTTAACTTTTTAACAAAATGATGCATTAATTGTCGTTTCTGATGGGATTCATGAGTGTTTATATATGCAGATCATTCATGGTGTTGATAAGTCAGGGATTGGGTGGCACCGTTTACCGGTGTTCTTGGAACTTATATATTTGGCTATACGCCGGCGTCTTCATGACGAGTACAATTTGGTGAACGTTGGGAAAACTCCGGTGGGGGTCGGGTTCAATGCAAGTGACGTTCCGTTCAGGACAGCTGACGGAAAATTCAATGATCCTGTTGATAAAGGTGTGGGTGGTGAGGGGAGTTTCTTTGGCCGGAACATGCCCCCAGTTGATCAGAAAGACAAGGTATAATGGTGGATGCATGGACTCTATATATCTATTATACGCTTGAATTAATTAAGGACCGGGCAAAGTCATAAAGAGTTTCTTATAACATTAATTGACACTCAATTTTATTAACGCCTTAGTTTAATATAATATGTAAGAATATAAACATGGAACCTCTCGATTTACTCTCCACTCAAGATAGAGATCAAATATTTTAACATATATAATCATGTGGAACTTTAACGCGTCGACCAATAAAGGCTAGACGAACAAAGATATACTAGAGTGTTGAGGGAGGGGAGGGTTAGGCAGACAAAGATGTCCCAAATACTAACTAGATTTGACTTTAATACCATGTGAGAATAATTTGAACCCCAAATTTACTTTTCAAAAGAATTATTCAAGATAAAAGAAATGTTCCAACATATATAAAAAATATATGTGGTTTAAGTCTAGCCGATATGAAACTATAATTAATATAATCGATCAGATTCAGTCTCACAAATATATCAAATCATCATATATGCTATTAATTTGTTATGAACATTAAAAAAACATGTTATAATTTTTTAGAAGAGGAAAAAACCAATAAAAAATACATGTGTATATGTGTGTTCTCGTGTGTGTATATATATACATATACATATATACACACGTATTTTCAATTTTTTTCCACACACTTGAAGCAACTTTGAAAGTTTCATATATAAACATTACTGCTGGAACACCGCATTTTTCATACATGTTAATTCATATTAAAAACATGAAAAACGATTTTATTCACAAAAATAATAGATTACAAACTTAGTTGCAAGATTGTATTATTAATTACTTGATTGTTATTCTTTCAAATTATATGTCCAAGGAGTCTCGATGTAGCATTCTCTTTTATATTTAAATCACACAACAAAATTTTATTAACATTATTATTAGTTTATTCAGGTTATATCGTATTATTTTTAATAGAAGATATGGAATCCAATAAATACGATATATATCCAAGCTGTCAATCTCCACTCAAATGTGGGCATGTGTATTTTAGCTAGATTTGTTTCTAATGTATTGGATGATAGTAACCATTCTAACTACTAAAACCTACTCCACAGCCGAATCAGAAAAATTGGGTGCTATCATATTAATACATACATGTACAAGTGTACATATATACACACACATATATAGTGTGTACTTATTTATATAAGTAGATATTTTTACCTTTTTCAGTAACTATGGAATAACTATTTCGGAAAATAACGTGAGATAAATGCATTAAAGCCCTAATTAATTTTGTGCAGTTATTGAAACCAGACCCAATGGTTGTAGCAACAAAGCTACTAGCACGAAAAGAACTTATAGACACCGGGAAACAATTCAACATGATTGCTGCTTCATGGATTCAGTTCATGATCCATGATTGGATTGACCACCTTGAGTCAACAAAACAGGTTTGATTAATATATATGGGTGATGCATGGATGTTTGTAATCCTTCTAATGTAAAACATAAAATGGCACGATGTACTAACACATGACCATGGATTTATATGGCAGATTGAGCTCAAGGCACCTATAGAAGTAGCAAGTGAATGTCCTCTCAAATCTTTTAAGTTCTACGAGACTAAAGAAGTTCCCACAGGTTCCGATGAGATCAAAAAAGGTCATCTTAACATCAGAACTCCTTGGTGGTATGTGTCTTTTCTTTTGTATTAATTAGTCGCTAGTTATCATATAGTCATCTATGTTAGCTCTATATATCAATATAGGAGATTTAAGTTTGCGTATATAAAAGTCACACAAACATTTAACTAAATACATGGATTATATGAAGTTAAGATTGGGATATAATGCATATAGGGATGGGAGCGCAGTATATGGAACCAATTCGAGTGAATTGAGGCAAGTGAGAACATTCAAAGACGGAAAGCTCAAGATCGCAAAAGACGACCTCCTCCAACATGACAAAGATGGATTGCCAATAGCAGGTGACATTCGTAACAGCTGGATTGGTGTATCAACCTTGCAAGCCCTCTTCATCCACGAACACAATGCAATTTGTGATGCATTAAAGGTAGTTACATACACAAATCCACTCACTTCATATCACTACTAATATTTCCCTCTAGCTTATAATAACTAATGGTAATTCATCAGAATGAATATCAAGACTTGGATGATGAAGATTTATACCGTTACGCTAGACTAGTCACTTCTGCCGTGATTGCTAAGATCCACACAATCGATTGGACCATCGAGCTTCTCAAAACTGATGCCCTTGTTGTTGGAATGAGAGCTAACTGGTAAACTAGTTTGGTTAACTAGCTGATTAATATGATCTTGTGTGTTGATGATATTTTTAAAATTTTCTTGAAAGCTAAATTGCTTAATTGATCAGGTATGGGCTATTGGGAAAAAGATTCAAGGACACATTTGGACACGTTGGGGGAGCCATTTTGGGAGGTCTTGTAGGATTGAAGAAACCCAATAACCATGGGGTGCCCTACTCTTTAACCGAAGAGTTTACAAGTGTTTATAGAATGCATTCTCTTTTACCTGATCAACTCTTCATTAGGGATATTCATTCAACGCCAGGCCCTAACAAGACTCCAAAATTAATCAAAAAGTAAGTCTTTTTGACACCCTTATAACTCGATGTTAAATTAAAAAATTATCTTCATTCTCACAAAATCATATTAAATATCTATACCCATGCCTCGTATTCATAAACCAAAATAATCTTAATCCATTTTGATAATTTCGTAAAGTTTTATCATGGATTGATCATTTGATGATTTGCACTGATAAAACCATCTACGTCAAACTTTTTTGCTCCATGATAGCAGTATCTTTATTGGGTTTTTCTGATCAATACTAATCATAAATTTATAGAGTTGACATGATAAATTTGATTGGGAAGAACGGGGAGAAGGAATTATCAAAAATCGGATTCACGACACAAATGGTATCAATGGGACATCAAGCATGTGGGGCACTTGAGCTATATAATTATCCCACATGGCTCAGGAACATTGTGCCTCAAAACCTTGACGGCACAGATCGTCCTGATCATATCGACTTAGCATCACTTGACAGTAAGTATCATACACTTCATTTTGTTGATGTTGATTTTCATATTGTGAGTCGAGGACGTTGGAATGATGTCCATATTAATATTTTATAAAGAAAACAGTTACAATAATTCGAACAATGGCTTTTATGGTGATTCGGTTTTCCTTTAGGTTTATGTATGTGATAAAAAAATGTTGTGTTGTAATGTGTATGCCCGAATGTTAATCTTAACACATGGTTATGTAGTTTATAGGGACAGGGAGAGGAATGTGCCAAGGTACAATGATTTTCGTAGATCGCTTTTCATGATCCCAATCTCGAAATGGGATGATCTAACGGATGATAAACAAGCAATTGAAATGTTGCATGAAGTGTATGATGATGATGTGGAGCAACTCGACCTATTGGTAGGCATGGCGGCTGAGAAAAAAATCAAAGGGTTTGCCATCAGTGAGACTGCTTTTATTGTTTTCTTGACCATGGCATCAAGGTACAACTCAGCATAAACGAAGAAAAATAGAAAGCAAAATTAAGTAAATTGAACGAATATATTAATTATTGATTGACTTGTGCATGAATTGTAGGAGACTTGAGGCGGATAGATTTTTCACGAGCGATTTTAATGAAGAAGTGTACACTAAAAAAGGGTTTGAGTGGGTGAACACAACAGAAAGTTTGAAGGATGTGTTGTACCGGCATTATCCAGAGATGATTGATCGTTGGATGAACTCGACTAGTGCATTTTCTGTGTGGGATGCTACACCGGAGCCTTATAATCCCATACCAATTTTTTTCCGTATCCCTAAGTAATTCTCCATATTTTGTCTCTTAGCGGAATTGCTATCGACTAAAATAAGCCCCTTGTTAGGACGAAGATCCCTGCTCAAGATATACTTATTGGATATTAATTTACTTTTTACATATGTCTTTTGTAAAAAAAAAATGTTGTATTTGTGTGCCTTATGGTATAAAAAGAATAACCAATTATATTGCACCGTCTTTGGTCAAGTAATATTTATATATATATATATATATGTATATATATATATATATGTATATGTATATATATGTATATGTATATATATGTGTATATATATATATGTATGTATGTGTGTGTATATGTGTGTGTGTGTGTGTGTTTTGGACGGAAATTTGAATATATGACGAGTAAAGTAGCATTGCTGAAAGATTGATTCAAGTACCACGAAGTGAATTAAATATTTGTTATAATCAGTATCTTTGTGAAAACTTTAGCTTTTTATAAATATTCAAATGATACAAAATATGTTATGTTATATGGTCGTTGACCTAAGTTTTTATGAAACGCAATATTTGTGTACATGGTGATGAGTAGATTGATATATTTTGCATCCACAACCAAATATTATGTGTTTATATACATTAACAAGATTTTAATCTTATCATATACACATTTAGAGCATGTTTGTTAGCAGTTTAATGAGTTAACGGGACTCATGGCTTATTCGGTTAATTATACATGACTATTTGGTAGTGACTTAATGATATAGAAAGAAGTTTATTCAATAAGCTTCTATGAATACTTTATACAAAAAGATACGTTTTTTTTTCCAAACTTGTCTCTTCTAGTTAAAAAACACACTCATTTTATATATGAAAAAACTTTTTTAATCTATACAAATAGAATAATCTATACAAACAATTTTATTCATACATGATCTAATAAAAAACCAACTAAACAACCATTAGATATTCTATAGTCTCATAATGAATACTGTTACACTAACAATTAATATTGGTTAAAAAGGGGATGAATAAATATAATAATTTGGGTGTTAAATCAAATCAAAGAAAAAAAAAGTCTTGTTTTTATGGCATAATGTGTTTACCTTCATTTTTTGAATCATCACTTCAAGATAATAAGTAATTGTTTTTTTATTTTAAAAATAATTATTTATAATTTTATTTATATTGCACAAAAAATCCACGATAGTTTCCTTTAGTCTAAATGTTGCCCAAGTCGTCTACTAGAACAATATGAGAAAAGTCAACCTAAACTATTTTTTTAAATAAAAAAACAATTAAACTTTCTTATTTTACGAATAAGTTTTTGAATTATTTTTTTAATAAAAAATTATTAAACTTTTATATTTTAAATAATTAAGATTCTGACTTTTTTTTAAATAAATAAACTATCGAACTTTTACTAATCAATTATTCTAACTTTTTTGGAATAAAAGAATATAGACAACCAATTTTTAAAAGTATGATGATTTATTTATCAAAAAATGTTCAAACACTTAAACAATTAAAATGAAAACATTTAGTGATTTTATCATTTAGAAAGAAAAATTTAATGATTTTTTATTAAAAAAATTGTTTTTAAACTTAATCATTCAAAATAAAAAAATTTAATGAGTCTTTCATTTAAAAAAAGTTAATTTATGAACTAAATCATTCAAAGCAAAAAAGTTTTTGGGTTTTTTTAAATTTTTCGAACAATTATTTAAAAATAATTATAATTCATTACTTTGCTAATTTTTATATATCTATACTATATTATAAAGCATTTGGCTAAAACTCTTAAAAACTCTTAAACTCTTAAAACTCTTAAATCTGTTCATTCCTAAACAATTTCATCCCTATCCGATTTCATCTCATAACTGAATTCGTGTAACTAACTGCAGATAAACACAATCAAATACAAGATAAACATCTAATTTTAAATATAAAAATCTAAAATATAATTA